GCTGTCCCGGAGGCGGTCAGCTGTCGGTGCTGGGCTGAGGGGTGCTCCGGGGGCCGAGCCCTGTCTCTGGGTTTCTTTCTCCTCATCCGTCACGGCTGCCTGGGTGTGGGCGTTAATGGCCTGGGTGGTGGCTGCTCTTGGTGAGCTGGCACCGTGGACCATGGATTCTAGAAGGGACCAGGTGCTCTGGACAGACAGGCCAGAGCCCTCCATCTTGTCTCAGGTGACCAAAAAGGAGACGTGAGGGGGGATGGGAGTGTGAGCCCTTAGAGCGACAGCTGTTCCCAGCATGTGGGAACCGGGACAGGAGACAGGGCCAGGAGGGAGGTAATGACGGCAAAATGCACTGAGGCCACCGGGGCCCTGCCCCTCGGGAGAAGCCTTGACACCCCCTGCACCTTGTAGAATGCAGGTGCTGGTCCAGCAGGTCCCAGTGGCCGGAGATCTCTGTGTCTGACAAAGCCTCCAGCCACCAAAGCCTGACCACCCAGGAGAGCCACAGCTCATAGGAGCTGAAAAGTGTCCCCTGAAGATGTGCTGAAGTCCGACATTCTAGCACTGGGAATGGGACCTCATTTGGAAATTGGGGTCTTTGCAGATGTGACCAGGTTAGGATGAGGCAATACTGGGTTGGGGTGCACCCTGATCCCGTGACTGGTGTCCTCTAGGAGGAGGAGGGAGGCACAGGCACGTGAAGAGGAACAGCGAGGAAGGAGGCAGGGACCAGAGTCCTGCAGCACATCCGGGGACCCCTGGAGCTAGGAGAAGCTGGAAGAGGCTGGGGGAGCCTCCCTGGGGCCTGCCGAGCAAGCAGCCTCTGCCAGCCCCCCGCTTCTGGCCTCCACACCCGTGAGAGCACTCCCTTCTTTCTGTTCTCTTTGGGCCCTTTCCTACAGCACCCAGGACCCTGATGCTCAGCCAGAGGCCATAGGAGCTGTTTCCTGGGGAGTTGGTGCGCTGCCATCCCAGCTGGCGAGTGGCCAGAAAGCCCTAGGCAGAGTTGCAGGTGAGGACAGGTGAGAGCACTGGGTGCTCCTGTCTCGCTGGGGAGCAGCCCAGACCCTTTCCTGCAGGGTGAGGGGCTGAGTGCCCTGGAGGGGAGCAGCAGATGGCAGCTCTGGGAGGAGGGGCCAGGTCGGGGTGGACACGAGGGGGAGTGGCCACACCTGCCCTGCATGCGGACATGCTGCCCACCTTCCACAGCTGGGGTGGGGCTGGCCTGGGGAGGATCTGGGGCAGTGTGGGATCCCAGAAGAGGGAGGGACTTGAACCAAAGGGCCCAGCTGGACACCTGCCTCCGCTGATGACTCGTGTCTCTGAGCCTCAGTGTCCTCGCAGCACAGAGCATGATGACAGCCCGCCGGCTGAGGGCGCAGAGGGCTCAGGCCAGGCATCAAGGTGGGGGCTCCATGAGTGGAACTGAAGGTGGAACGGGGAACCTCCCGGGAGCCAGGGGTGGGCAGAGCCTCACGCCCAGGGGCCACCGCCTAGCTGTTTGGGAAAGTCCGGCTCCTAGGGGCAGCCTGGTGGTGTCGGCCAGTGACTTCCTCTATTTCCCGGGTCACCTGGGTTACCTCCCATCCTCCCTCCAGCTCCCGCTCTGCTGTTGTTTAGCCCTCGATTTCTGGAAGTGCTTTCGGGAGGCAGATGTTTGGAGTTCCCGGCCCTATTGATCCACACCTTAGCAAGACTTGCCTTTCCTGTGATGAATATTTGATTGACGCCCTGAGCTGGTCCTGCTTCCCATCTCTTTCTAGCTCATTAAATTTCCTTGAGCGGAGCTTCCAAGTTTCTCCTCTGGAACTTCCCCTCCAGTGGCAGCTCCTGCACCCTCTCGTTGGCTTCTGACCCATTTATTTGTCTTTTGAAAAAACAAAAAAATGCGTTTGGCTGGGATCTGTCCTGACGGCGGGCCACCAGGAGGGGGTCTTGCTGAACCCAGCTGCCGCCCTCCTCCTGTGGAAGCTCCCTGCCCTGCGTCTGCCTGGGCCCAAAGGGTGGGGCCCTGAAGTCTGAGGATGGCGGACGCCTGGAGCTGCCTCTGAGCTCGTTGGCGGCTGCGTCTGGGGAGGTGATGGGCAGGTCGGGGTCTGGAGACTGGCAGAGGCCCCACTGAGCATTCATGCCCATGGCAGGTCCACTTTCCCATGGTTCTGGGCAGGACATGGGTGGATATGTGGGCCCCTCTGACGATGTTACTGATGAGAGTTGGCTTCTGGGCGCAGCGAGCCTGCCCCGGACCCTTGGCCAAGCACTTCATGTTCATTTGCGTCTCGCCACATTCCTGGGGGGTGGAAGCCTCAGTTTATAAACAGGAAAATGGAGGCTGAGCACCATGCTCAGGAGACTCAGCCGTCTCAGGGCAGAGCTGGGACTGAACCAGCAAGTCCCAGCAGACCCCTGCTCTGCTGCCTCCCTCCAGAGCCTCTAGCTCCTGCCTCCCAGGGTGGAGGCCTGGATGCTGAGAAATAGCCTGCAGTGCCAGACAGGAGTTATCACCCTGCATCCTCCGTGGCAGGGGGGAGCTTTGCAGGGCGGGCCAGCCTGGACTTTGGATGCCCATCCAGCATGGCCAGGCTCCCTCTAGGCCTCTGCTTGGCTCTGGGTTACTAATGCAGAGCCTGGACGTGGCCAAGCATTGGATTCATCCCCAGGAGGATGGTGGACTTTGTAACAAAAAAGGATAGGAGGGACACGGCCTCCGACTGAGCAGGACACACCATCCTCCAGCACCAAGCCCTGAGAAGACGCCAGCAGCCCACAGGCCACAGGGCGCAGGCTCCTGTCTGCCAGCTGCCAGGACGGCAAACCCAGGGCAGCAGGTGGCCCAGCAGCCTAGGCTGAGGCGGATTGAGTGTGTGGGCCAAAGGCCCAGGCCTAACTCCAGCTGCTGCTGTCCGGTGGCCACTAGAGAGCACAGCCTGCATCCAGGAGCAGATAGCCTTTGTCTCAACCCAGCCGGGTCTGATTGTCCTCCCTTCTTGTGTTCTAAACTTTCTATCCTGCAGCATTCACTACTTTGTGTTTTTATGTTTATTTTTTGGTACCGGAGATTGAACTCAGGAGCACTCGACCACTGAGCCCCATCCCCAGCCCTATTTTGTATTTTATTTAGAGACAGGGTCTCACTGAGTTGCTAAGAAGCTCACTTTTGCTGAGGCTGGCTTTGAACTTGTGATCCTCATGCCTTAGACTCCCCAGCCGCTGGGATGACAGGCTTGAGCCACCATGCCTGGCTACTTTGTCCTTTTTTTCAGGGCATTAGAATGGTCAGTGTGGCCCTCCCCCTCTACTCTGTCTTCTGATTTTGGTAATGTGCACACTCATGATGCAAGTGAGGGTCTAGTTAAGGGAACGGCCTGGTCCCCTGGAGGATGGCGTGTTCTGCTCAGTCAGAGCCTGTGTCCCCTCTATCTTTTCTTGTTATAAAGCTGCTGGCTCTTGCCTGGGGTGAAGGGTAGGTTGCAGGGGGCTTTGCTGGTGTGGGTAAGGGGACAGTGCATGGCCACTGACCCTCTGCCTCTGCACCTTCTCTCCTCTCCCTCAAGCCACTTCTGTGGATGGGGATATGAAGTGGGGGAGGGGCATGCAGCAGCCTCCAAGCCGGACTGTGGCCGCCTCATCTGACCATTCTCCTGCTCAGTGGACGCCAACTGACCTCCAGGCTGTGTCCTTGTCAGGCTGGGACAAAGCCACTCACTGGCCCAGGCCTCTCCCAAGGAGCCCGAGGCTGTGATTTAGAGGATGGGGAGCAGGAGGGAGCACAGGTGTGGTCAGAGCCATCTGTTCTGACCCAGCTGTTCCTGATGGTTTGCATTTGAGTCCTCCTGGCTCAAGGGAGGGTTTGTGGGGTGGTCCAGGGGCCTTAGCACCTCAGCTGGTGACGTCTGCTACTTCCCCTGCTGCATGTGTGGGACACAGGTCCGCCTTCCTGTCTCCGGGACAGTGTCAGGAGGAGAGCCAAGGTGGTCAGGAGAGAGGAGTGTGCAGGCCTAGCCGGTAGCGGGACAGCCTCTCAACGAGCTGATGTTAGCAGAGGCATGGGCGGGAGGGACAGCGGTCAGGGTGACCTTCACGGCAGCGTGAACAGGCAGTGGGGTTGTTATGATGCCCTGAGCAGGTTAGGAGCCTGCGGCTCAGGCTGAGGCTCACCAGGGTCCACAGGGGGATGTCCTGCCGCTGCCAGCCCAGCCCACTGGTCACTGATGCTCCTGGGAATGGGGAATCTCTGACCCCTGAGGGGGGAGGGGAAGTGGGGGAGCTAGGGCTCTGCCCCTCCTCTGTACTGGCTGGTCCAGCCAGTTCCCTGCAGGAGGAGTGGAACCTTGCAGGGCCAGGCAGCCCCGCCCCTTCCCTATGCAAAGGCCTCTGGGAATCCCACACCCTGCTCCTTCCTCTCCCTCCTTCTCTGGGCCTCGGCTTGGATGTCAAGCCCCAGGGACGAAGGAGTGGACAAGGAGGGCCTGCAGTGTCCTCTCCAGGACTCGGGCACAAAGGGCAGGACACCACGCGTTTTGTGCCAGCATCTATGTGGTAAAACACATCGATTTAAAAGTGAACAGCAACGTTTCTGGGCCCCCCCGAGGGACAGTTTTGTTAATGAGGATTTACAATAATAGAAAGTGCCATTCATTTGTCCCCTGCCCAATAAGTGCGAAGATTCTCCAGTCTCTGGGCTCCGTCCCTTCCTGTTTCTTCAGGGTCAAGTGCGCCATTCCTGATTAATTCCATCACTCCTGCTGGGAGAAGAGCAGCCAGGCCAGGGTGACTCACGGTGCCACCGCGGCTCTGGGCCTGTTTGCAGTGGGGCACCGCGGGTCTTCTCACCTCTGTGATTCCCAGCACCTCGGCCCCAGGGCTGGCACTAGACGGTGCCACGTCATCCATGACATGCTGTGAGTCCTGGCTTCCGGTGACGTCCTCTGAGGACTGTGCTTCATTGTGAGGACCCAGTGTGAATCTTGCTCAGGGCGCAGGAGGACGGGAGCAGACGCCGGCTCTGGGTTCTTGTGGTAGCTTTTTATTCTCTGCACGCCTAGAACATTCCCCTCCCTACTGTGCTCTCTCTTGAGTCTTTGGGCCTCATTTCCTGCACACTTAGAATGAAGTCTGCTTTAGATTGAGTCTCCCTAGCCCTCACACACACCAGCAGAAGGAGAGGGCCACGGTTCCTTTGAATGTACGGTGGGCGTCAGTCACTGGCCCAGCTCAAGACTGACCTGGGAGAACTCCAGCCTCCATGTGACTGCAGACAAGAGGACACCGAGCTGCCTTGGAGAGCAATGCCTCAAAAGATCACGGAGGGGGCTCCAGCCCCTGCCAGGTGGTGTGGGAGGAGGCCAGGTAGAGATCCGAGGCTGTCACCCAGACCAGCGAGGAATAAAGTCCTCTTTTCCTTTGGCATCAGTGTGACCACGTGGGGACTTCCATCCCCACCTGGAAGGGTGCTCTCCCTTTCCTTTCTAGGGTGAATCCGAGGAGGCCCAATGTAGAGGCTGGGCTTTCACCACTGCCTAGCCATAAAAGGCCAGTCCAACAGTGCATTGTGGAGACCCCAGGAAGAGCCGGAGCTTTCTCTCCTGCCCGCAGTGTGTCAGGGAGGTGACTGGGGAATGTCCACACGCAGTGATGGGGCAGTACCCCGCTCCCTCCCACTGCTGGAGCAGGCAGAGGGCCATCTGAAACAAGATGCATAAAACAGCAATGTCCAGGCCTCAACAACAACAAGAAACCACCCATCACACCAAGATCCAGGGACATCTCAAACTGAATGAAAAACTGCCATCAATCCGTGCCAACGGGGAGATGACAGGGGTGTTGGAATGAATGACAGCGGTTTTAAAGTGGCCGTGATTAAAATGCTTCATGGGCAGCCATGAACACCCTTGAAAAATGTGACAATAGAAGTCCTCAGCAAAGGGAAGGAAGATAAGGGGGAAACGGTGTGGAAAAATAAATACATTAACTGAAATAAAAGGCTTAGCGGGCTCTTGGGCCAGTGGGAAGGGAGAGAGAGCAAGGTAAGGAGGACCACGGGTCATTACAGTGGGCTTCCCTCCTGCTCCTCTCGAGGTTTCCACGTGATGTTGGTGGTCCACGGACCACTGCCTTGCAGACCTGCCACAATCCTACAAACAGGGAGGGCGAGGTGCAGAGAGGGGCAGGGTTGGGATTCCTCACTCAGATGGTGAGATGACAACACCACTCACTGTCACTCAGTGTGTCTTATGTATAATGTGACGTCTAGAAGAGCCACAGCAATGTGGAGTGAAGAAATGTGCTAAGAAAACACTATAAACGATTGAAATTATAAAACATTTCCAGTTAGAACAACAAAAAGACGGGAGAAAGAAAACAGCTTTAAAGAAAAACAGAAAACAGAAAATAAAACACCATGACAGGCGTGACCCTTAATCTATCAACCATTACATCTCGTGCAAAAGGTCTAAGTGTAGCAACTAAAAGAGAGAAATCAGCAGAGTGTGTTAAAAACATGTCCCAACTGTGTGTGGTCTCCAAAAAATGCTCTTCACACATAAGTGTATAAGCAGGCTCAAGGTAAATGGATGAATAAAGATGTGTCATGCCAATATTAACTAAATAAAAACAGGGCAGCTTATTAATATCAAATAAAGTAGACTTGAGAGCAAAGAAAGTTACCAGAGAGAGAAGAGAGCGCATGCAGTGACATCCACTAGGAAACAGCAGTCCTGAATGTGTATGCACCAAACAACAAAGCCTCAAGATGAAAAAGCAAAACCTGGTAGAACTCAAAGGAGAAGTAGGCGAATGCATGATTACCACTGGAGGCTTCAGTACCTCTCTTTCTGGGTCTCTCAATGGGTAAAAGAACTAGAGAGAAAATCAGTAAGAAAATGGAAGAACTCACCACCACCACCACCAACCCAAGGAATCATATATATATATATATATATATATATATATATATATATATATATATATATTCAACAACAGCAGAATGCACTTTCTTTTTGAGTCCATGTAGTGTGTACCAATATACCCTTGGGCCACAGAATAAATATGAAAAAACCTTTATAAATCAAAATCACACAATGTATGCTCTCCAACCACAAATGGAGTTAAACTCGAGACCAGTAACAGATGACCAATTAATCTCCAAACTGGAGATTAATTAAACAAAGCACTTCTACATAATCCACGGGTCAAAGAATGTGTCTCAAGGAAATTAAAAGTTAAAAAGTGAAAACACAACATATCCACACTACTAAAACAGTGTGCAGAGACATATATATAGCACAGAGTGCATATATATGCAAATTCTCAAATCAATAGTCTAAACTCCCGCTTCAAGAATTCAGAAAAAGATCACAATGTACTATGTAAGCAAAAGAAAAGAAACAATAAAGATAAAGATAAATGAAATCAATGAAAATGCAAACCAAGAAACAAGAGAGAATGTTAGTGACACAAAGGGCCAGTCTTTGAGAAGATCAATAGAATTGACGCGCCTTAGGAAGACAGATACAGCAAAAGAGGTGCAAGTAGGAGGAATGAAACAGGAAGACCCAACAGACCTCACAGATATCAAGAGGACAACGAGAGAACAATCACCAACAATCCTGAGCACACAGGTTGGATGACTCAGAGAAAATGGATTACTTCCTGCAAAGCAAAACTACCACGGCTCACCCAAAACTAAATACATAATTTGAATAGCTCTATAGCTATTAAGAAATTTAATTTGCAATTTAAAAACTCTGAAAAAAGAAATCCCCAGGCCCAGAAGCTAGCTTTCAGTGTAGAATTCTGCCCAATATTTAAAGGAACATGGACTCCAATCCTACCAGTGTGTTTCAGAAAATAGGAGGAAAAATACTTCCAAATTTATTATATGGGACTATTATTATCTTGATATCTAAACCAAAGATAGGATCAATGTGAGAGAGAGAGAGAGAGAGAGAGAGAGAGATAGAGAGAGAGAAAGAAGGAGGAGGAGGAGGAGGAGGAGGAGGAGGAGGAAACAGTGGATCAATTTACTTTGTGAATATAGATGACATATCCTTCAACAAAATTTTAGCAAATAAAATTTAGCGATATATATAAAAAATTATACACCATATCCAAGGCCATCTAGGAATGGAAACTTATTCAATATTTGAAAACCAGTCATTATAACTCACCACATTAACAGGCTAAGAAGGAAAAAAAAACCCACATCATTTTATTAGTTGATGTAGAAAAAAGTACTTGGTATGATTCTACACTCATTTATAATAAAAACTTAGAAAAATAACAATACAAGAGAATTTCATCGTCTACAACTAACCCTGCACTTAATGAGAATGGCAATGCTTTCCCCACAAGATCAAGAGCAAGGCAAAAATGTCCACTCTCATTCTTCTTATTGTTTTTTTCTTCTTGTTCTCCTTATCCTTTTTTGGCACTAAGGACTTAACCTAGGGGTGATTTATCATTGAGCCACATCCCCAGGCATGTTTTTATTCCATTTTATTTTTAGACATGGTCTCACTAAGTTGCTTAGGGCCTCACTCGGTTTGCCCAGGCTGGTCTTGAACTTGCCATCCTCCTGCCTCAGCCTCTTGAGTAACTGGGATTACAGGCATGTGCCACCATGCCCAGCCCACCCTTCTTATCCAACCTAGTGCTGGTAGTTCTAGCTAGGGCAATAAGGCCAGAAAAGAGATAAAAAGATATACAGATTAAAAAGGAAGAAATTAAGCTCTCTGTATTTGCAGATGATACTTTCAATGTAGGCTATTTAAGTGATTTTACAAAAAACTTCTGGAAGTAGTATATGAATTTGGCAGGGTTGCAGGAAGACAAACATAAAAAGAATCAATTGTATTCCAATATTCTCGGAAAGAACATATGGACACAAAAATTTTAAAAAAAATTTCAATAACTATGTAGGCTATTTAAGGGATTTTACAAAAAACTTCTGAAAGTAGTATATGAGTTTGGCAGGGTTGCAGAATAAAAGACAAACATAAAAAGAATCAATTGTATTCCAATATACTAGGAAAGAACATATGGACACAAAAATTTAAAAATTTCAATAACGACAGCTATGATAATTTGTTAAGGGACACAAGTTATAAAACATACAAAATGTGTCATCAAACTGAGTAAAAGTATAGAATTTGTTCAAGTGATCAAATTTAAGTCATCATCATTTAAAATATCCTGATGTTGGTATAAAATTCTTATATAAGCCTTAAGGTAAGCACAAAGCAAAAACCTTTAGTAGATAGACAAACACAGCACTACACAATTACGGTGAAATAAATAAAAGATCTGTAAATGGAGAGGCATACCATGTTCATGGATTGGAAGACTCCATGTGGTAAAGATACCAAATCTCTCCCTAAATGTATACACTGGTTTAACACAATTGTTGAAATCCCAGTTAAAAAATGTTTTGTAGCGAAAACCAAGATCATTCTAAAATTTATTTGAAAAAAATAGGACTAGAGTAGCTGAAACATAGTTGAAAAAGAATAAAATGAAAGGAATCGGTCTGCGTTGAAGAATTATTATACAGCTATCATCGTCAAGACTGTGTTACTATGGTGCGGGGAAAGACCCATAGATTGTTGCAACAGAAGAGAGAACCTAGAAACAGACCCCCACAAATGCACCCAACTAATTTTTAACAAAGGTACAAAAAGAATTTAGTGGAATAAAGATGGTACTGGAGCAATGGTATATCCATAGGTGAAATATTGAATATTGAATCTTGACTAAATCTCACACCTTATACAAAGATGAACTGAATGGATCAGGGACTTAAATGCAATATATAAAGCTATAAAACTTGGGAAAAAAACACAGAGGGGAAGATCTTTGGGATATAGGGCCAGGCAGGGTTCTTAGACCTGACACCAAGAAGTACAATCCATAGACGTTCTAAAGTAGAATTGAGAAGTTGTACTTCCTCAAAATCAATCCCACCTCTGAAAGACCTGTCAGAAGGATGGGAGAGAGCAACTAACAAAGAACTAGTATCTAGAATATATAAAGAACTCTCAGAACTCAACAATAAAAAGATAACTGTTCAATTAGAACATGGGTAAAAGACAGACATTTCCTCAAAGAAGAAATAAAAATGTCAAATAAGCACTTGAAAAGTTGCTTGACTTGGCCATCCATTAGGGAAAGCACGGTAAACGAGATGTCCCTACCCTTCTTCCAGAGTGGTTAAAAATGTAAAAGATGACATAACCCAATTCTGGCAAGAAGGTGCTCAACTGGATCTCTCAGACACTGCTGGTAGGAGTGTAAAAATAGCGCAGCCATTCTGGAAAAGGGTCTGGCAGTGTCTTGGAAAGCTGAACACATGACTACATACAACCCGGCAGTTGTACTGCTGGACGTTTATCCCAGAGAAATGAAGACCAATGTTCGCACAGAACCCCACCCCCCCAGATTCTATAGCAGCTTTCTTTGTAATAGCCCAAACCTCCAATTCCCCGATGTCCTTGACTGTCTGTGGCTAGGCAAAGTGTGGCAACCCAGGCTGGGATACTGCCCAGTAATAAAACTGTTAAAGTGCGAGACAACTGGATGCATCTCCAAGGAGTATCACAGAGTGAAAGAAGCCAGTCCTCAAAGGTGCCACACTGCAGGGGTCCACTGAGGTCACCTTCTTGGAATGACAAGATGATGGAGCTGGGGAATGGGTCTGAGATTGCCGGACGTTCTGGGGGATGTGGGCATGACAGAAAAGTGGGCGTGGCTATAAGGGAGTGGCAGAAGGGGTCCCTGTGGTGACATGGCGTCCTGGGCCTTGACTGTGTCAGAGTCTGTATCCTGGTTGTGCTACTGACGTTCTGCCAGCTGCTACCACTGCAGGGAACTGGTCACGTGTGTGTTATGGTTTAGACAGGATGGGTAGCCCAAGAGCTCACTGTGAGACACTGCAAGAATTTTCGGAGGTGAAATGATTGGGTTATGAAAGCTGTAACCTGATCAGTGGGGTAATCCACTGGTGGGTTAACTGGGTGCTAGCTAAGTAGGTAGGGTTTGGCTGGAGGAGGGTCACAGGGTTGATATTTTGTCCTCGGTGAATGGAACTTGCTCTCTCTGGTTCCCGTTGCCATGTCCCGAGTTGTTCTCCTCCACTCCCTCCGCCAAACTGTGCTGCCTCACCCTGGGCCCAGAGGAATGGAGTTGGCCATCTAGGGACTGAACCTCTGAGACTGTGAGCCCCAATTCAACTTTCCCTCCCCTAAGCTGTACTTGTCGGGTATTGGGAGCTCCGCGAGGCAAAGTTAACACGTGAGCTGGAAAGTCCCCACAGCACCTCACCCCTCCACCATGGCTAGGCCATCATTTTAGAAACTCTCGGTGGCTCTTCACGCCCTTAAGTAAGATTCCGGAAGTCTGCTCTTTGCTAATCCATGGTCCCCACGTTACTGGCCCCATCCACCGTCTCCTTGCTCCTCCATCACTGCTCCAGGTGCCCTGGCCCTCCAGGGCTGGGCCTGGTCCTTCCTGGCTGGACTCCTGTGCTCTGTCTTCAGCCTTGATCAGTGTGGCTTGTACTCAGGGGACAGCTGGAGACCATCTGTTGTCCATGGGTGGCGTGGCTCCCCCACATACAGGGTGCAGCTTCCCACAGGAGGGGCATGAGGGCCTCAGGAGGGGCATGAGGGCCTCAGGAGGGAGTTCTCACCAGACAGAAGCTGGGCTTGTAGGTGGCCTCAGCAGGACACTGCACCCATGGAGGAGTGTGCACGGGGCAGGGCTCAGAGTATCCATGGCTGGACCTGGGCCTGTGGTCCACTGAGGTGGGGTCAGCGAGCAGGGGAAGGAGGGCCTAGCCTAGGACCACAGGAGGCCTCTTTTCCCCCTTCAATGTCATATCTGTCCGTGTCCAGGCTGCCCAGGCCACCCATGAGTGGCAGGTGGAGGGGTGCAAGCCCCAGGGCAGCTGGCAGGAGCCTGCCATCGGGGAGAGGAGGAGCCAGGTGTGTGTGTCTTTGCGTGTGCACATGTCTGTGGGTACAGATACGAGCACTACACACGTATGCACGTGCGTGTACATGCGTGTCATGCATGCGAGCCTGGTTTGCACACTGCCTCCTGGTGTGTGCCTGTGTGTGTTCCTGTGTGAGCTCCAGACATGCCACCTGGGCCACCAGGGGATGCAGCCACACTGGACCCGGGTTCCAGCCCCGCCCACTCCCCATTCCCCGGGGAGCTGAGGCAGGGGACGGTGGGCGCCGTCCCCCCATACACGTGAGGAGTTGGGGAGGAGGCGTTCTTGCCAACGTGAGGAAGCGCCCGCCCACTGTCAGAGCTCGCTTTGGAAAAACAAACCAGGAAATCGCTGCAAGGAGCCGTGGACCGCGCCAGGCGGCACTTCTGCCGCCGTGGGGTTCGGGTGGCCCTCCTTCCCTTCTCCTGGCTCGTCTGCAGTTTCTAACATTCCTGCAATAAACATCCATTACTTGGTAATAACAACCCAAAAGTTATTTTAGCAGTTGGCCTGGAGCAGTGACAAGTGTGTGGCGGAGCCGCCTCCAGAGCCGCCACCTGAAGTGCGATGTCCCCGCCCTGCGGTGCAGAGCCTGGGGCTGCTCTGCGGGGAGATAGATGATCACGGCTTCCTCCCGCCTCCTGCTGCCTAGGTGTGGGGTGTCTGTCTTCTGGGGTGTGTAGGTTTTCCTGGCCCCCCACCATGGGGCGGGTGCTTGTCACTGAGCCTGTTCCGGCTCTCCAAGGACCCAAGGACAAGCCAGGCGCGTTTCCACGTGGGCTGTGGTTGGCTCAGGCTGGACTCAGTGCTGAGTCCGAGGCTGGACCTCGGCTCCTGAGTGCTGCTTGCTCCTCAGCACCTGGGGTGAAGGGCAGCTGCACAGGGTGGGTCCTGGGCTTGATGCCAGCACCCAGTGACCACGGAGAAACTCTCTGGTCTCCAGAGCCTCTGCTCCCTTGCACATGAGGGGAAGACTGTGCTCACCCTGTGCAGGGCCAGTGAGAGGACTCCGCAGATGTATCTAAGTCCCGGGGCACAGCTCCTGGCGGGCAATGACGCTACCTGAGTGTTTACTGCTCTTGTCACTCATCGGCGCCACTGGACACTGGCAGGAAGAATATTGGCGCCCAGAGACGTCGCAGTTGATGCCCAGGGTGACCGTGTCTGGTTCATGGTGCTAGGGTTTGAATGTGCCTCTCCAAACTTCAGGTGTGCCGGGGCTGGGCGGAGGGAGGCCTGCAGGGGGTCAGCCCTCAGGGCTCCTCCCCTCCGAGTCTGGCTAGGAGCCCCCAGAAAGGGCGGGGATTCTTGCCCTTCTGCCTCTGCCCGTGAGGTGGCAGGGCTCCTGCCCCTGGAGGATGCAGCCCTCACCAGACACCAATGCCCCTGCCCCCATCTTGGCTTCCAACCTGTGGAACTGTGAGGAAGTCCATCTTGGCTGTTTGTAAGCTTCCCAGGCTACGCTCTTGGGTTAGAGACTGCAAAGGGACCCAGCCACGTGCAAGGGGGGTGTGAGACTGCACCAGGAATGAGGCTGCTGTCAGCCAGCCTCGATGGGGAGGCCACCTGGAGCAGAGGGATCCCCAGGGCCTCATCGTGGAAGAGGGAGGCAGAGGAAGGGCGGTGCTGATGGCAGAACAGGGTCAGAGAGGCTGTGCTGCTGCCTCGAGGAGGCAGAGTGGGGCCAGCAGCCAAGGCAGCTGGACAGGGCAGGGCAGGGGTCCTCCCCTGGCACCCCAAGGGCTCGAGCTCTGCCTGCACCTTGGTTTTCGCCCGGTGAGACCACGCTGGCCTTCTGCAGTGCAGAACCGTCAGAGACCATGTCTGTGTGAAGGCGCTGGGTTGGTGGTTCTGTCCTGCAACCCAGGGTGCTCTCCACTCCTACTGTCGCAGAAAGGCGGGAATGGCTGTCCCAGCTCCCAGGGCCCCTCTGTAGCTGCGTTAGGGGTCTTCCCAAGTCACGGATCTCCCTCACCCACTCCAGATCCTGCCACCCTCCTGCCAGTTCTGGGGTGCCTTTCTGGGCTGGGCCTGGTGCTCCTAAGGCAGGGCAGAGCCCGCCGCGGCCTCTGTGGGGTCTGACGTCTGGAGCGTCCGCTTGCCGCCATTGCTCCTGGATGCACCTTTGCACAGGTGGAGTGTGGACCTGTCTCCACTCTCCCCAGCGCTGCGTGGAGTGGGCTGTGCCCTCGACGGGAGGCTGTGTGCTCAGAGATGCTTTGAAGTCTCCTTCAGCCCAGCCGGGGAGAGCCTCAAGGGGAGAGGCGCAGCCTGGCGATGGCACGCTCTTGCTGAGAGAGGGATGCTTCCAGCCACTCATGTTGAAAGCTCTTCTGGTGTGAAATCCCAGCTTCAGAAGAGCTGGCTGCCGGGGACGGACGGGGTGGGGAGCCGGGCCGCGGGGAACCAGCCTGGGCAGCCCAGGCTCTCCTCTCCTGCCACCCCAGCAGGTTTGGCTTTGGTGGCGGATCAGCAGGGCCCGGGCACCTTTCCTGCCAGGACCCGGCAGGGAAGCCCCCCGGGTGCCTCCCCACGCCAGCCTGACTCCACCACGGGGGTCGTCACAGGCTGACCCTTCCTGTGAAACTCCCTGAGTTCTTACTGGGCACAGCACGAGTCTGAGCGTTTTCCCTGCATGAAACATGCTGACAGTCCCTGCTGTCACCAAAGCGGGCACTGTTGGTGTCCCTATCTTAGATAAACGGAGGCTCGGAGAAGTCATTTAATTTCCTCAAAATCATTCACCCAAGAGGGCAGCAGAGCCCAGCCTTGAGCTCAGGCAGACAGACTCTGATACCCAGAGATGAGAGGCTGCCTCTGGCACCTGCGTCCACATGCTGACCGCTGACCGAGGACGAGGTTGGGTGGGGAGGGGTGTCTTCCTCTACATTCATTTCCCTTTGAGTAAGAAGCCTCTCCTGTGGCATCCATTTTTCTCTGGGATTTAGGGGCATGAAACTATTTTTATGTAAAAAATGAAGACACAGACATGGAAGGAGTGGCCTGCAAAGTGGCCGATGCTTTGTAAGATTTGAAAAAAATTCAAAGATTTCAGCCGAGGCCCAGGAATCACCTGCTTACAGGGTGCAGTGTGGAATTGACACACACCTACAGGGCAGCTAGACTTTGCATCTCTTTCATCAGGTACAAGTTCTTTGTGTTGGGAGGTCCTGGCTCCTGGCTCTGAATCTTCATGAAGGGGATCACAAGGTGTGAACCACAGTCCCCACCCGGCTGCAGAACCCTAGGCCCTGTTCCTCCTTCCCACTACTTTCCCTGACGTCCACCCTCTGCTGGGCCTCCCTCCCGGCCTCCGGCCAGGCCTCTCTCCTCTGTGGGCTCCTTTGTTGGGGGGAGAACACTGTGGTGCTGGTTTCTCTCACTTAGCGAGTGTCCCCCCCATGTGCAGGAGGGGACCGGATTTCCTTCCTTTTTGTTAGTCTGATACTTGAGAAGCTCCACAGGCACTTTTGTGACAAGCTGGGTTTGAGGTGGCTGCCTTGGGCAGGGGACCTGAGAGGCTGAGCCCACGATTCTTGTCTTTTTCTCTTTGGAGTTTCCTAGAGACAGTGCCAAGCCTGAAATTGGGCTCAAAACTGCGTGGAGAACACGATGTTCTTGGCAGGGTGGGGGGAGCCTCTCCTGCCTGCTCCTCTCCATCTCTGGCCAGTCATCTTTTGTGGGCAGCTTTTATGCTGTATGCAATTGTCCCTGGGAGCGGAGGCTATGAGCCAGTGGGGGAAGATCCTGGCAAGTTTGCAACTCAGTGCACAGAGTCCCCATCAGGATGGCATCTGCTGTTCCAGGGAGTCACCCTCCAGCTGTCCAAACCCTCCTTCAGGGAGTGGCTGGTGTGGCCCCTGGTAGCTCCTGCTGCAGGGTCCTGTTTAAGAAAAACCAAAGGCCAATCAGACCCTTGGCTTAGCATCCAGTAAAGAGGGTGCTCTGGCTGTGTCCTCCCTTGGACAGGGCTCGGTTCCCTTGCAGGACTTGTGCTGGGGGCCCACACCCACGGACACATCACTAGGACCCCCGGCAAGCTGGGCTAGCGTCCATTGGCTCAGTCACCCCGGTGTTCAGTGAGAGGCAGGATTTCCTGGCAGCGTGTCTGTCTTGCTTAGCTGTGCAGGGAGGGAGCAGGCCAGGCTTGGCCTCTGCTGACTTGGCCTGTGGTCTCGCCCCCCTGGCCTCAGCCGGCTCCCCTGTGAAATGGAGGTTCTGGGTCTGGCTGAACTCTATGCATTTCAGTTCCATGGTGTCACCAACTGCTTCCCAGTTGCAGCTGGGGCTGCCAGGGTGGGGGTGGCTCCACCATGAGTTGGGGGCAGGCTCAGGACTTGGGAGACTGTATGGAGACTCCAGGGTTGCCTCCTGGCCAGACCCCTGTGAACTTGAGAAAATGACGCCATTCCTTTTGGGGAACATGGGTGTGAACAATCGCTGTAATTGAACACTCCTTCTGCCCAATGGCTCTTTAAGGAGCTTAGAGAAAGTGGAATCTGCGTGGAATTTGCAAATATTCATGCTCCTTCAGCTCTGAGCGCTTTCTTTCTTAATGACACCTCCAGGCTTGCTGTGTGGTCAGATGGCAAACCGAATCCAAACAGAAACTTTTCAATCAGTGTCAGCTTTTCTTTCCATCATCTGATTAGAACCTCAAATTCAGAATCCTGCTGGCTTCTCCGCATCTTGTCCACGCATCTTGCAGGGCCCCACAAACAGGCTGCCTGGCAGCAGATCGATTGGGACACAGTCAAAGGACACAGCAGTTTGTGTTTGATGCAAAGGGCTCAGGATGTAGGTGTAGGGACTATTTCCTGGCCCCAGGGGAGGGCTGTCGGTCCCCCTCCGGGAACAGCAAGAACAGCCTTCCCTGGCAGCAGGTCCTCCCTCCAGTCCTCTGGGGCGGTTCACGCAGTTCAGAGTTTAGGACACTGCTTCCTGAGGCCCAGGGCAGTGGCCCCACCTTATGAATTCTAGGGACATTTGCTGTCTCCAGTTTTTTGATGTGTGAGCCACCTGGCCTCCCACATGCTGTGAGCAGGGCCCAGCCCTTCAGGTCTGTGTACCCACCTCTGTTCCCCTGCCGCAGGGGCGTACAGGGATTCTGGAGCCTCACGCCAGCAGGGTTGGGTCCAGGCTCAGGGTGCCCCAGCTCAGGCCTGTGTGGTGACGAAGGAGGGAGCTCTTGCTCCTGGAATGGAGAAGGGAACAATCACCCTAATTGGATGCTCCTTCTGCCGAATGGCTCTTTAAGGAGCTTAAAGAAAGTGGAATCTGCGTGGAATTTGCAAATATTCATGCTCCTTCAGCTCTGAGCGCTTTCTCTCTTAATAACAAAAATCTGTTGCCATTGTGGGAGAGGTGCACATGCATCCCGTGCAGAAAGCCGCCTCCATTCAGGAGGACTCTACACCAACCGTTCTGCCCCCCGTGAGCACCCGGCACAGGGCTCGAGCCTCAGTCTTGCTGTTTGGGCAGCTTCTCTTCCCAGGCTGGGCCCCTCCCTTGGTCTCTGCTACTCAGGGATCATCCCCTTGGGGCAGGGGACAGGGGCATCCTTCCTGGGGTTCCAGGTGTTAGAGGTCCATGGCTGAAATTCTGGGGTCCTTCCTGCTTAGCCGTCAGCCCTGGCCGGGCTTCTCCTCCTACCTGGGGTCTGCAGGCTGTGGCTTCTCTGCCTCAGGTGAGTTGGTGGCTCCTCGGGACTGTGTGGTGCCAGGCCCAGGCAGGTCTGCAGAGCACTTGGGTTGGTGGCTGGTGGACTCACCTTGTGGGTTTCCACGGGCCTCGGCTGGCCCTGGAAGCTCTGGTCCCACGGTCTGTTGAACTCCTGGGGCTGCTGTAAGGACGTACCAAGGATCAGGTGGCTGGAATAGCGAGTGTTCATTTTCCCCGTCGCTGGGTTCTGCAGGTCCAAGGATGGTGTCACAGGGTTGGTTCCTGCTAAGGTGGAGGGGAAGAATCTTCTAGGCCTCCACCATGCCAGCCTCCTCCGTCCAGCCTCTCCCACTATAAGGACACAGTCTTATTGGATTAAGAACCACCTTAGCTTGATCCCCCGCAAAGACCCTGTTTCCAAATAAGGCCACATTCAGGCACAGGACTCAGCACACCGACATCTCTGGGGGATGTCACCATGACCTTGTCATTCTGGAAGGAGCCTTTCCCCCAGTGGGGACAGGAGAGTCCTAGCTCGTGCTGGGAGTTCTGGTGGACAGGCGTCCTGGCTGAGTGCCGCTCCCTTCTACAGGGGGAAGAGGAGGGCCGCTTCCTGGGGGAGGCGGCCAACAGCTGGAATCACAGCTCAGAATTAGGCCTTCAGAGCAGGTAACTAAGATTCCAGAGGCAGAGGGCCTGGGTCTGTGGTGAAGCCCCTGGCCCTGGAACAGGAATAAGTTTCCTGTTCCTTGTTCCGCATGTGGAGGCGAGTACCACTGAAGCGTGAATCAGCCCTGTGGGCTTCCTGTCAGCCTTGTGGGCTTCCTGTTTATCTGCCCTCATGAGAGCCTGGGACAGATTGTACTTGCTGATTAGTTGGCCCAGCTGGGCCTTGCATGACCGACCTGCAAAACCTGACCTAGTTTGCTTAAGGCTGCCCGAGACCGCTTCCTGCAGAATAGAGTGTGTGTGTGTGTGCTTAACCCTGAGTGTGGGAGGATATATAAAGGGGGGGAAATAAAATCTCTCTCTCCTGGATGAAGAACCCTGGTGTCCTGTGTCTTTTAACCTCGCCGTCCCTCGCCGGACTCGGCTCCTTTGGCCGGACGCGGCATGGGTCCAAACCCCAGCCCTGACGCCTACTTGCTCTGTGACCCTGGAAAAGTGACCTAACCTCTTGGAACCACTCCCTATCTGTGAAGGAAGGGGATGGAAGTGTCTGCGTCACAGAGAGCTTTTGAGGTGCATGTGCCAACCCTAACCCTTGCTCGGGACACTGGTCCTCGGGGTGCTTGTCTTCAGTGTTCTTGTCCTTGGTCTCCCTTGGCACATGGGGTCCAGGAGCACCTCACACTCACCCCTGGACTGTGCTGGGTGCAGTAAGGCCCCCACATCATGAGGTTTGGGATCTCAGTTCGGAGCTGACCTTCTGAGGAGGATGCCTAAGCTGTCCCAGGGTCCGGCACAGGGACACTGACCCTGGGGTGGACCCGTGCCAGGAGGGGTGTCAGTGATGAGCAGCAGCTGCTGTTTGGGCCATGGTGGGCCAGGACCCCTCCTGGGATTTTGCTTCAAGACATAAGAGAGAAGACACCCTCCCCAGGGCCAGGTGGGGGTGTGGGAATCCCACAGCTCCTTCCCCCACAGTGACGCTTTCTGTAGGAACAATTTGCAGGAGTCTAATGCACCCAGGTTGATTGATGGCTCCAGAGGAGGGTGAGCCTGGAGAGTCTGGGATGGGAGCAGCCAGGGGGTCTGCGGCAGAGAGACCAACAGACACAGTGGTGCTGACCAAGGCAGGCTCTGCTGGCTGGCGGAGGCACCCCCGGGGGAGGCTGTACCGGTGAGATGGGGCTGGGAGAATCATCTCAATGCAGCGAGCCCCGAGGTCCTTGGCTGAAGGGGAGTTTTAACCTGGACCTGGGGTTGGTGATTCGCCCTGGAAAGTAAAGAGCGGGCCTGAGCAGAGTCCACGGCTGGCCAGGGGTGGAGGGCAGAGTGGCCGCTGGTGCTGTCCTCATCTGATTGGGGGACCACCTATGCCCAGCCAAAGCAGACCACTCTCCCTTGTGTCCGTCGCTTCTCTCCCTGTCTCTGTCTCTCTGTCTGTCCTTCTTTCATGCACAGAGAATCGACACTGATCATCTGTGGAACCGATTGCTCACATCCTCACCTGCTCCTGGTGTCTCCCCCACAGGGTGGGAGCCCCAGGAGGGCAGGGCTGTTCTGTTCATGGATCCTTCTGATGCATGTGCCTGGCATACAGCAGGTGCTCAATGCATACTCATGGAGCACTTGAGCAGTGAGAATATGACCCCAGGTGTGCTCCTCTGGTGGTCCACGCTGTCCTTCCTAGCGGGTAATGGATGGGTGTGATGATGGGTAATGGATGGTGTCTGGACCAGCATGGCATTTGCACCAGATGGCTGGAATCAGCTGCTGGGAAGGGGTCCAGGTCACCAAGGGAGGGACTGGTTCTTGGGTCCTGCCAATCAGGGCTGTGGTTTCCTGTCCCAGAGACGGCTCCATGACAGCCTCTCAGGAGCACTGGGACACCCCTTCCCTCTGAGCGGTGACCCACCATGGGCTTGGGGACACTCTTGGAGTGTGATTTGGCTCAAGGAAATCACCTCTTCTGTGGCATCTTTCCCAGCAAAGGTTGGAGTCACTGGGCTGAGGCAGGTCTGAGTTCGCACCCAGGAGCAGCCACTGCTGGGGGCAGGGTGGGGGCGGGTTGTTCAGGTTCCCTGTGGCTTCTGCCTTCTCCTCCCCTGGACGGCTCCTTCACCTGTCTCTGCCTTCTCCTCCCCTCGCGGGGGCCTACCCTGGTGCTGGCTCCTCAGGTCGAGGGCTTTGCAGGACCTAGTGGTGTGCTGAGGCTCTTGGGCCCCTCGGAGCTCCTCCGTGATTATGGTTCTAGGGGTGGGGGTGTTGCTGCACCAGAGAGGATCATGCCCACGGACAGAGCACGTGGACCCTGCGGCGGGACTAGACCAGCCTCCTCCCTGCAGGCTGGTCACATCTGAGGACTGGAGGAATCAGCCAACCCTCGGTGAACAGATGTCCTTGAGGCCCTGTGTGTGCCTCACACACACGGTGGGCTCATGTCTCCACCCAGAGCTGAGGTCCTGTTGCCCTTAGGGATTTTCCAGCTGTTCAGAGAACCTGGCAGCATTGGGAAGACCTGCCCACTGTGGGACTAGCCTTGGCATTCAGCTCCAGGCTGCCCTGGACGGCTCCTTCACCTGTTTCTGCCTGGAGCTTCCCTGCGGGCTCAGCTCTCTGGCCTTGGTCCCTGGCTCTCCAAGACACCGCAACCTCCTGCTGTGTTCTCCAGGGTCCGGCTGACACTGCCTGGCCTCTCTAGTGCCCTGTTACAGGGGAAGCACTGACAGGGAGCCAGGCTGGCCTGCGTGAGGACCTCAGAGATATCCTGGGCTCAGGGACAGTTCCAGTAGGTCTGTGCACTTCCTTGGCCTCCCATTTCCCTGGGACTATGGTCCTTTGAGTGAATAGGAGAGGGTTTCAGGCGAGTCTGCAAATACACAGGGTGCAGCCCTAGTCCTTCCTTGCCCTGAGGACAGTCCTTCAAGATCCTCTCTGGCTCCCAAGGAATGGGATCCTTGAGGACCTGCCTGAGCCACACATGATTATGCTGTTTGTCTGAGGGATATTAGACGTTTAAAGGTCTGGATCTGACCCTGAGGCTGCCCTGCCATGGCTGGATGGCAGGCAGTGTGGCCCCTGGAGCCCCCTAGCCACCTCTGACCTGGGGCTGCTCTGCTGGCCTCCACCTGGGCTGCAGCCCAGGGTCAAGAGGAGCAAGCTGGTGCCTCTGGGCGCTGATGGACAGTCTCTCAGATGCGGCCCTCACCTCCTCCCTCCTCCCAGCCCTTCTGTTCTGGCTTCTGGGGGTGTAGGTCACGTCACATGCGTTCCCCTCACTGTTTGAATTGTAAGTCCTCTTACTTGGAACAACGGTGACTTGCATATTCGAGTGGTTCAAGGAGGGGGATTTAATAAGACGCCAACTGAGTAAATGCCAGTTGCTTTAAAAAAAGTAATTTCAATTGCTCAGTGGATAAACGTTGGGGTAAAAATACCCTCTTGCAGCCCACCGTTGTGGAGGCTCCGTTCTGCACCGGCTGGTGCCCCGGGTGCAGTGGCTCTACTCACGGAAGCTGCAGCCAGCCGAGCTGGAGCCTGGCATCTGGTGTGATGGGTGCTCAGGAAGCCCTACATGGAGGCCACCAGCATGCACTCTGGGGGAGACCCCATGGTCCAGCTGCCGTCATGGTGGTCAGGGCCTGGGCATGGCCCTTCAATCCAGGACCTTGCCAGGGCCTTTGCCTGCTGGGCTTGCTCACTGGGCTCTGGGAACAGTGGGCCTCAGCCAGTCCCTTGTGGTTGGTGGCAGTGTCCTGTGCCCAGCAGGTCCCTCGGTGATAATTAGCCTCCCCTGCCTCAGCAGAAAAGGGAGGACACACTGGGAGGACTTCCAGGAGCTTTGCCCAGAACCGTGCTCTCCTGCCAGCTGCTGGGTGCTGGCCACGCTGCCCTCCCGTTGGCTGTGGCACCCCCAGGAGCCTTCCAGAGTCGGGGATCTTCCCAGGGAGTTTTCTGAACCAGCCCCTTCCCTCTTTGGGGTCTGTCTGGGAATAACCTGCGCCTTGGTGCAGTGCCCCATTGTTGCCACCAGGGGTCACCAGGCCCACGGCGGGCTTGAGGGTGGACACTGGTGGCAGAGCAGAGAAAACAAATGCTGGCCAAGGGCAGGCAGTCAGGGACAGCCGGGAGGCAGCATTGGCTGGTGCCTTGGAGGTCAAGGCTGACACGGGAGCCACTGGTGAGGGTGAGGCTGGGGTCCATGGCGTGTCAGCCACCTAGGAGGAGCAGCCAGCTGTACAGGTCCAGGGGCGGGTGCTCGAGCCTCTCGGAGACGTGAGAGGCATAGCAGGGTGCTCGTAATCCATGGTGGCTTCCGGAGTCACCCAAGCTGGCTTTAAGTCCTGTGCAGTCTTGGGCCACTTCCTTAACCTCTCTGAGTTTCAGAAAGTTCCCTGTCTGCAAAATAGGAGAAGCATCCTAAGGGTTTTTGAAAGCATTCGGTGACTAACACACGCAGGGGCTCAGCACAGGCCTGGTGTGGCATGTCACTCAGTAGATGTAACGGTTGTTATTATTGCCATCGATGGTTTCCAGGGGGACTGTCCTTTCTGTCACCATCCCCTCCAAAATGCTTCCTGAGTCCTGCTGGTTTTTAATGTTTCTAATCTCCTGTTGATTATTCCCGGGGTTTCAGCCAAATAAGCGCTTCCAATTAAAGCCCTTGCGCAGGCGAGTTGGGTTGCCATGACAACAGGAGCAGGGTTTGCCTCTTCCCTGGATTACGCGCACCAGTGTGTCTTTCCGTGGGGCTCTGCCTGCGTGTCTCGCTGTGGCCAGACTCACTCCTGTGGTGCGGTGCCTCCAGGTGGCAGGTGGGAGGAGACCAGGGGGAGCCGGGCGGGGGCGGAGGTGCTGAGCCCTTCCTCCTGACAGCCGTGTTGGGAGGGAAGGTGGATTTCCCCAAATGAACCCATTGTCCCCCTGCAGTGACCTCCATGTCCCTGACCAGCCAGGCTAACCTGAGTCTCTAGAGCGTCACAGCTCTGTGTGCGTGCGTGGGGGTGGGGGGCGGGTGGGTCACTGGACCTGAATCTCTCAGGACACTGGACTCGGCTCAGACCTGGGTGGGGTTGGTGGGGTCTGGGGAGGAGCAGCGTTGGAAGCAGAGCTGGGGGCTCACTCTGACCTCTGGATTCTCTGAGTTCCAGATGCATTCAGCATCAGCCTACAGGTCAGCACTGGGAGCTTCCAGACCATGGGCTGGGGCTCCACGCAGGGATTGGCAGGGGACATTTTCAGTGGAGAGGGTCAAAATTAAATAAGTACATGAAAGGAAGGAAGGAAGGAGGGAGGGAGGGAAGGAAGGAAGGAAAGAGGCCACACAGGTCCACAGACAGCCCGTGGTCGGGGTCTGGGCTGTGTGGCCTCTCAGCCGGGCCTGGGTGCCTTCATGAGCGTGGCAGGCTCCGACTCTCTCCAGGTCTCCTCCTGCTCTGTCCCAGACAGGGGCTGTATTTTGGAGCCCTCTCACTGGGACGGACCCAGATGCCTGGGTGTGAGGGACAGAGCTTTGCCCTGGTGGTGTCGAGAGAACGGATCCCATGACGGATGGGACTGGCCTGTGGGGTCTGGGGACACCTCAGGCCTCTTGCCACAGGGGCGGGCAGTGGAAACCTATGTGCAGCCCTCGTGGGCAGGGAGCGTGGAGTGCTGGCCGCAGGATCCTGTGTCCACGTGCACGGTTCCAGCTCGTCTGCCCGCTCTGTGCAGAGCGCCTCGCTGAGGGCTGAGGCTGGGTATTCCGCAGGGCACAGGAGGAGGAGCTGACCAGGTGTTCCGCGGCCTGTGCCCCCTCTGCCAGCTCTGCCTCTGTGCTGGGGGTCCTCAAAGAAGACCCGGCAGAACCCCCTCCAGAAGCCCCCAGGCTGTGAGAACTGGCCTTCTCCACTGGGAGCTGGGAGGTGGCTCCTGTCCTGCCGTAGACCCCGCGTCCTTGGATGTGGAAGGCCAGGGGCTCTGGAGGTTAGAGCCAGCCTGTCTTGGGACAGAAGCCGAAAGCCAGTCAAGGAGGGGAGACACCCTCTGGGGTCATGCTGCAGACCTGCAAAGCATGGTCCCACTGCTGTCACCAAGCCTGTCTGGCCATGCTCCTGGGTGCTGGGGACCCTGGGGAGCCACGGCAGCCTGCATGACTGTCTGTCCCTCCCTCTCAGCTGTGATTCCAAGTTCAGGGAATGTTTCCTTTATCTCTGGGACCACAGAGCCCACAGCGCTGGGGCTCAGTGAGGGCAAGGAGCCTCGGCGGTGGGTGGAGCCCACCGTGGGCTTCCTGCTGGGAACGTGGCCCTGGGGTGGCGGGCTCTGACAGCTGGAGGGATGTCACAATCTCTGGGGAGGGAGCGAGGCCCCAGCATCTGTGGCTGTTGGTAACTTTCTGAAGACAGGCTGCTGGGAGGCCAGCCAGGGGATGAGCCGCCACCGCTCCGCCCTGCTGGATGCACACACAGAGCCCTGCCCTGTCTTCCTGAAGGTGTCCACCTCTTCCCAGAAGCAGGGGGTTGTCACAGCCTTGCCTGCTTTTGAGGCTCCCCGTGTGCCAGGCGCTGTGCTGTGTCACCTCATGCCATTCTCAGGAGTCCTGTGGGCAGGTGCGCCAGCACACCTGGCCTGCAGGTGAGGCATGGGTCCCACAGAGCAGGTGGAGGAAGCCCTGACCTGTGCTTTGCTGTCTCTCCAGGGCCCCCAGCTCCTCAGGGCCCAGACAGCACCGTCATACAGGGCGTGGGCGGGAGGCTGGGAGAATGCTGGGCTGTCCCATCGGGTTCCTCTCTCTCCCCTGAATCAGGGGCCCACAGTAGGGTGACAGTTGAGACCCCAGCTGGTCAGGACACCAGTTTCCTCCAACACGGCCGAAGCCTGAGGTCCAGTGGGCAGCTCATCTTCTTCCCCTGTGGAATGGGCTCAGGGTGGACAGGTGTGTGCAGGGCACTCTGCCTGCCTGATCTGGGAGGCCCCGGGACAGAGACCAGGACAACCACTAAATATGGCTCTAGGTATGGGCGACCCAGAAGACCCTTCTGGGCAAAAGGCGAGCACATCACTGGGGACTGAGCTGCCTCCCACCCCCAGCCAGTCCTCCTGCGACCTCCTCAGACCCTGTACAGCTCACAACAGCAGCTGAGCCCTATCCTGGGTGCCTGGCCCAGCCCACGGAGCGCTCAGTCTTGTGCAAGTCACGGGCTCATCAAAGGAAGGGGACGGGAAGGCAGAGCCCCCTGTGGAGCGCAGATGGGCCCCACTCTCCTCACTGGGCTGGAGGACGGTGCCTGTGTGTGCCTGGTGTGAGCTGGCATGTGTGTGCGCCCCGGTGTGCATACCTGTGCCCTGTGCCTGTGTGTGTGAGTGCACTTCTAGACATGTGTGCCTGTGTGCACACAGGAGCTGGTGTGCACTCGCGTGCGTGTATGTGCACGTGTTTGTGAGGGTGTGTCGTGTGCCAGTTGACGGCCACATTGTGAGAGGGGGCGAGGTGAAGCCTGGAGGGCAGCTTCCCTGGGAAGGGCGTCCTGCCTCCTGGAGCGTCCAGTGGGGACTCAGGCCTGGACTTGTGTTGGATGATGGCAGTGTCCCCAAACATGCCTTGTAAGAGTGGGGACTGATGACAGATAGGCCCTGCCTGGCCCCATCTCTGACCTCTTTTAGGTGGGGCCTTGGAAGCTGCCGAACAACACCCTTCCCAGGAGACGCTGCTGTGCGGGTGTGTGGGAGCCTGGACACAGGCCCCGAGAGCCCAGACGTCCAAAGCCCTCCCTGCTCACCAGGGGCCCTCCACTCCCTTCCTATCCTCACCTCCTTCTCACCCCCAGGAGCTGCAGGCTGGGCTGGGGGTGCCCTCAGGGAAGCCTGGCCAGGACCCGCTGGGCCTTTCATCTGTGCGAGGACTGTTGGCTTTTAACCCTCCACAGTCTGCTTCCAAGGCCGCAGCCCAC